ATTATCATCATTAGCAATTTTTTCTTTAAACCACTCAGAGAAACTCTTATTATGCTCTTTTAACAACTCTCTTATATTCATCTTGGGATACTTTTTCTTTATGATGCTTTTGTGAGCAGCTAAGTAATGTTGAACTTCATCTGTGTTATTCAATATATACAAATGCGCTTGAACAACCACATCAATACTTAGACTCTTAACCTTTAAACCATGTGTACCCACACCCTCACATCTTCCATCATGACGAGACTTGGGAACCCCTACAACATCCACTCCTGACAAATAGTTAGAACAAAACTCAATTGCTTCTTCTGCAATGTACCTCTCAATAATTGATGCTTCTGGACGGTGTGGATTTTTTATATACCCTTTTAGGATCTTCATGTATCGCTCTATTGGATACATTCACCGTAAAAAATTGGACCATATAATCTAATCTCCCTAACTAGATGAATAATCAAGTGAACCATAATGTCAAAAAATGAAGGAGGGAAATACATCTCTAATTGGAACAAGATAACTGCAGACTCATTTTCCAAATCATCTAACTTTAATGGATAAATGGTTTTACAACAGATTGCATTGAAAAATAAGCACAACCTAGTTATAGTCTTCCTAACATTGTTAGGCAATATCCCACGAATAGCCACTGGTAGTAGTTGTTGCATTAAGACATGACCGTCGTGAGATTTTAAGCCAAATAATTTGAGATATTTAACTGATACAAGCCTCTTGACATTTGATGAGTAACCATGCGACACTTCGATACTTTGTAAACACTCACAAAAACTTGTTTTCTCTTTTTTGGACAAAGTGTAGCAGGCAGGAGGCAAATATGTCTTGTTACCTATATATTTTGGAGTTACCTCTTCTCGTATTCCCATCAAACCCAAATCCAGATGAGCATCAATACCATCTTTTTTCTTGACTTGAATGTTGAGAAGTGTTCTGATTACACTATCACATACATTTTTCTCCACGTGCATCACATCAATACAATGTCTTACGTCAAGACTAGACCAATATGGAAGATTGGAGAAAATCGACCTCTTTTTCCATGTACTCTTCACAGTAGATCGCTTTTGGTACTTTCTAAAGACAACATTAATGCCCTGTTGTAGTTGATAAACTTCCTCTCCAGTTAAGGGCTATGGAGCAACACCATGCTCTTGTTCCCCATTGAAAGCTTTCTGCAATCTATGATATGGATGATAACGATGTAGAAATTTTCGGTGCCCGAGATAAACAATCTTCTTTCCTTTTACAAGCTGATGGTAACCAGTGTCTTGTTCACATATAGGACACGCTTTATGGCCTTTAACTTTATACGCAGACAAATTGCCATATGCCAGAAAATCGTTGATGGTGCAAAACAATATGGCACGCATATTGAACTGTTCGCCAGAATACGCATCAAAAACATTCACCCATTCCTCCCACAACACTCTTAAATCATCAATCAGTGGACTTAGATACACGACTATGTCATTTCCTGGTTGTTTTGGCCTGAAATCATCATCGATAGCGTAATATATTTACGCTTCATGCACAACCTAGGAGATAAGTTGTAAATCATCAAGAGAACAGGCCAAGAAGAATGATTAGTACTTAGATTATCAAATGGATTCATTCCATCAGTAGCAAGTCTAAGTCTAAGGTTTCTCGACTCTTTGCCAAATCTTGGAAACAAAGTATTTATTTTCTTCCATTGCAAAGAATCAGCTACATGGCGAATTTGTCCATCACAATTTCTTTCTTCTGCATGCCATCTAAGATTTTTTGCGTCGTTTACATTAGCGAATAATCTCTTGAACCTTGAAATTATTGGTAGGTATCATACCACTTTCGCGGGAGGACCCTTTTTGACCACCTCATCTTCACTAAAATCACCATCTTTCTTTTTGTAGCGTGACACATTGCACTTCGGACAATGATTATAGTTTACATACTCTTTTCAGTATAATATACAGTCATTAGGGCATGCAAGTATCTTTTCATACTCCAAACCCATAGGACATAATATTTTATTCGCCTCGTAATAATAAATCGGCACTACGTTATCCTCTGGAAGCATTTCTGTCAATAATTCAAGCAATTCGGTAAAACTTTTGTCAGTCCACCCGTTATTCCCCTTCAGATTAAACAATTTTAACACGGTTGACAAATGTGTAAAATTTGTGCATCTCGGGTACAAAGGTTTATCCTTGTCACTGCATAAAGTATCATACGCATGTGCCCTCTTAAACGAATCTTGTTGAATATCACGCATCATGTCTTCTAAACGATCATCCATATTGACACTAACATCATCTCTTTGGGACACGTTTGAATTTACTACTACTTCACCGTGCCATATCCATTGTGTATAACTTTGACAAATCCTTACACAGGTTAGATGATCCATGATTTCTTTCTTACTAAGTTTTGGTTCTTTATTTGCACAATGAATACATGGACAGAGAAAAAGCGTATGAAGACTTTTTTCAGCATTACTTTCAGCAAACCGTAAAAATTCCTTCACTCCATGTTCGTACTCAGCACTTAATCGATTAGCTCTGATCCAACTACAATTCATACCTATGTTCCGAAATTAATGATTACATAGTTAAATCATTAGAATTTTTTATTTCTAATATACTTTTTTAATAATTAATGTTTTTTAACATTCTTTAATTGTTAGATCACTCCACAATGACTTAATATAAGAAACTCTGTCACAAATAATATAGAAATATAATTTGTCATACTTAACTCTCCTTGAATATTTCTAGTTTGGGTAGAAATATACATTTATAGAAAGTCCGACGAGAGAGTAGCACTACTACAAGAATCCATAAGGGACTCTTTTAAACATAAAAATTGTAACATAATGTGATGTCGCGGGATTGAAACTTTGTTGGTGGTTAGCAAGCAAGATTAACAACAACATTTTAATTTGTTCTAATTTAATCCATTTCTTTAAATAAAATGTAATATAAATCTGGATAACAATAACAATAATGTTAAATCTATCATGTTAGAAACGGAGGGACGACGTCGGAGGCGGAGGGAGACGGAGAGACACAAAATAACGCAGGGACGTCGGAGACGGATGGATTCGGTGGGAAGACGACGGAGACGGAGGCGGAGGCGCGACTGACCGAAACCAGACGGTATGGACGGAGGCGGAGGCGGAGGCGCGGCTGAACGAAACAGGATTCGCGTCCGGAGGCGGAGGACGGAGGAAGACGGTTTCGGATGGCGTGGGGTTTCGCGTTCGGAGGCGGATGGCGGAGGGAGAAGGAGGAAGACGGAGGCAGAGGGCGGAGGGAGAAGGAGGAAGACGGATGGTTGTGGGGTTCGGAGCGAAAAAGATGAAGCTTTGTTGCGTTTTGTGAAATAAACATATGAATAGTAACAATAAGATTTTGTGAAGTTGACATGATTTTTTACATCGGTTGAATTTATGATCCGGTGTAAGGGTCACTCTTTTACATCGATTGGATTTATGGCCCGATGTAAGGGCCACTGTTTTTTTTATAACAAAAACGCTCTTTTACATCGGTTTGGTTTATGACTTGATGTAAGGGTCATTTTTTTTTATTAACAAAAACGCTCTTTTACATCGGTTGGGTGTATGGTCCGATGTAAGAGTCACTTTTTTTATAATAAAAATACACCTTATTTACAAAACTGCCACCATATTTGTATTATTTTATTATTGGAGTTTTTACATCGGTAGATTGTATAGGCCCGATGTAAAATCTCTTATAAAAATTTTCATTTTATTTACCAAAATACCACCTTATTATATTTTCCTCTAAATTACATATTTTTTATATCAGAGGAAATAAAAGTCGGATATAAAATCTTTTGATAAATATTATTTATATCATTTATTTTTATATCTGATGTAAGAACATTTTCTCAAATGTCATAGGGACTCTACCAACTGTCAAGAACATATATTTTGTGTCGAGAGAAAACCTATTATTCATAGTACATTGTTTATCAACTATTTTTCCCCTTAAAAAAACTTAATATGAAATATGTTGATGAGTTATTGCCTTGTGAATGACGTGTAGGTCGGGGTAGTTCTAGATGTCATTAATAACCCATGGAAATTGAAGATAGAGCCCTGCTAATTCATTTAAACAAGTTGCTCAAGTGAGTCATGACTCACAACCTAAGTTCTTTCATCATTTAATGATCGTTACTGATCAAGTACTTAGTTTTCCTTCTCAGTAGGTTGAGCAAACTTAAATTCACAATCACTTAATTATTCTCATATTTTAACCAACTTTCAAGGGACTGTTGAACTTGGTCATCTTCTAGCAGCATAGCTGAAATCAATTACCGATTGGATAAGAAATTTTGTACTCTAGATTTCCCTACAGTCACTTCCCTTTCATAAATAAATAAATAAATCCATAGGCCCAAGTAGATTAGTCTTTTCTTTACTGGACAGTAAATAATCTAAACTAGGTAAAATGATGTTATTTTTTCCAAACTAGAAATAGTTAAGACACTCTTTTTGTTCTGCTAAACGGCGATGTAGCTTACACGTACCATATTTCCTTCAACTTTGGCTTTTTTACTTGTCCTATGTTGTTTCTTGGTTCTTTATTTTAACCTCTTACCAATAAGTTACTGTTATCAATTAATTTAGTTGTTACATTGCAGCAATAAACAATGTCTCTAGACTAGAGAAACATGTATAATAGTAGTTGTAATAAAGAAACAAAAGCTTAGAACATTTACTAGAGACAAAAAATTATGAATGAGTAAATGAGTTCCCTTGTATAGTAGCTTTAAACAAGGTAAAAATAAAAATAGAAAAGAGAAAAATGAGAGAATAGATTGAGTGAATGATTTCGGAGGGCAGAGGAAAGCAGCATCACTGTGTTACTTCTTCTGTCATTGTCACATTATACTTTCATAACCATTCATCTTCTCATTCTCACTTTCATTTTTTCATTTCAAACTTTCTAATTCCCTCTCATTCTCACACATTCTCTCTAATGGATGCTACCTCACAACCATTGAAGTATCAGGTAAATATCTTACCTCAAAATCTTTTTTTTTTTTTGGGTTTGTTTTGTTTTATAAGCTAAACTTTTGTTTCTCCTACGTGTTTCTCAGACATGGTTCTTGAAAGTTTCTATCCATTGTGAAGGTTGTAAAAGAAAAGTAAAGAAAGTTCTCCAGAACATTGATGGTACTTCATTTCTTTTTCTTCATCTTCTTCTCATGCATGGAAAGATTTAAAACTCAAATATTAACGTTATAAACCCAAAACCATATAGTGTAAACAACTGTATGGTTTTGTGCTCTAACATGTACAATGCAGCACGCGACACCTCAGATTCAAGTGTCGTGTCCGTGTCCGACATTATGTTAGAGTTGTTGTGTCTAATATCTTTGTGTTTTTGATTCATATTTTCTGGTTTTGCATTGCAGGAGTATTTACTACAGCAATTGATCCACAACAGCAGAAAGTAACAGTCACAGGAAATGTTGCTGTTGAGACTCTGATAAGAAAACTGGCCAAAGCTGGAAAACATGCTGAGGTTTTGCCGGTGAATCTTCCTGCAAAAGGAAAAGATTCCAACAAAGCTAAGAACAGTAACAAGAGTGAACAAAGAGACAAAGAAGCTTCTGCAAATAGTACTGAATCCAACCATAGTTCTTCTGTCAAAGACAGGGAAGTTGAAAATGCTCAAAAGTGCAACGGTGAAAAAAACAGTAGTAACACAAAAACTAAAGGGTCGCCGGAAAAGTCTCCGGCAAGTGGTAAGGGACAGGAAAAACACAACAAAGGAGGAGAGGATTCTGTGAGGATGAAGAAGAAGATGAAAAAAGTTCAGAATGGTAGTGAAACTGGAACTAGAACTAGAACCAGAAACAGTGGGTTGAGTTCAGCATCTAATGGTGCACATGCACACACAGGATCAGAATTCCATTGTCCAGGTAAGGTTGTGGGGCAAGTGAATCTCAGCCCTACACGTCAGCAACCGTACATGTTGTATCCAGAAACGTGTTATCCTCCTTTGGTACAACAATATGCAGCATACAACAGATTATGTCCCATGGGAACAATGGATTGTCCTTCTTACTATGTTCCACCATTGTCCTACCTGTGTTCAGGCCTTGATCGTGACTCTTATCAGTTTCAATCTACACCGTTGATTCCCTTTGAGTTTTTTAGTGATGAAAATGCAAATGGGTGTTCTATTATGTGATGTTGCAGTTTCCGCTGGTTTTGTTTGTTCTGTTATAGGATAGTTTTGTTGTGTTATGGTAATTTTGTAATTGAGGCAAATTTAGCTGAGCATAGCATATGTTTATGTCCTTGGTTTTCTAACATGATTTTATATTTACCATTTCTTTTTTTCAACATTGAAAATTTCAGCATCGTTTCACATGGTTTAAAATTTTTCACAATGAGCCTTATAAAATCTTTGTCATTGTTAAAAATGGTTAAATAAAACCTCTAATTATTTTGTCATAGTCAAAATATAATTAACATACACATGATCTCTAAAAACTTTACATAGTTGAGATGAAAATACTCTAAACTTTAGCTTATTTTGATTTTGGACCAAAATGCTCACAACTTTAGCTTTTTTTTAAACACACGTACTAACAAGTTTACACATTAGAATCTACTTAATTTGGACGTGAGAACCAATTTTGGAGAAATTGTTATGAAAGGAAAACATACTAAATTGTGCAATAATAACTTATTTACTAATATGAGTCTATGAATGTGAGAGCTTTTGATTGAGCCGTGATCAGTGCCGTATTTGATTGCTGCTTTTCCGGGCATATATTATACACTAGTCCTCGTATATGTTTACTAGTTTTCTAGCTACCTCGTTTTCAAGAATTTAATTAAATAATCTTTTTACTATGAATTGTTATTATGACAACAAAATTTGGCAGCCATGGTGTAGTATCTATTAATGCCATAATGATTTATCTTTTGTGGCATTTTGCATTTTAAGGGAAAATAGAATTATAAGTACTTAAAATGTTGGCATATTGCATTTTAAGGGAAAATAGAATTATAAGTACTTAAAATGTCAAATTATTTAGTTTCAATGTTGTACAAATGTGAGAAAATATGACATCGGTTTATCTAAGTCTATTTTTTCAAATGTTTAACCATGATTCTCTGAAGACATTGGAACATCGCATTCACGTATTTTGAATTTTAGAAGTCATTCGATTAAAATGTAATGGTTTAATAAAATATAAGTTTTTATTTTTGTTTTATAATTTAAAATACTAAATTTAAATCTAAATCATCTGATCTTGATTGAACACTCGCTAAAGTCTCGAATGTGTGATATCCCTCGATTTGTTTGCTTTGAATAAAGCAGCTAGCACTTGAATCAATGCTGGTTGATATACAAATTCATAATTTTATAATGAAAGGGTGAGGCCACAATTAATGTCTCTATAATTTCACGTAGTTAAGTTAAGACCCCCATGTGAGTGGTTCAGCTTGTGGACCTAAACCATTGTGAACATCAATGAAATAAAGTGGAAAAAAAGTATTAAAGGAAGAAGCATGTGTGAAGTGTAGTCCATTATCAGAAGCTTGAAGCACGAGAAGATAAAAAGGTGATGCAAGGTGAAACAAACAAGCACTATTACATTGAAGTGAAGTGGAGGAAACAAAGAAACAAAAAAAACAGAACATAATAGGACAATGTCTTTGAATTGATAAAGAAAATGTTTTATTTTTTATATAAAAACGAAATGAAAGTTGTTCTCGGCTGTCCACAAGGCCAAATAAAATGAGGACCCAATTGCCACTTTGAGACGATATAGTCCATATCATGAAGGTTCAAAGCAATTCAGTTTTAGAGAACACCTACCAGCTACCGCATTAGAGACCTGCACCATTGTGCTGAGAGTTTATCTCATCAGTTTGTCAACAATTGGTTCCACAAAAAAAAAAATATAAATAAGTATAAATGTCACACGTAACTATTAGTTATGGTTCGAACTTAAGGTGACTAACGAAATTATAAAACAAATTAAAAAAGACTCGTATAAATATTGTTAATTTATATACAATTTTAATTGAATATGAGTCTATACAACTTAAATTATATTCAAATATTAAATTTTATTTAATATAATATTTTAACAAATCTAATTTAATATTTCAACACATCCTCATAATTCAAGTTGTCGAACATCTCAAAAATAATCAATCTGAACTATTCTTAATTTCTTTCTCAAATTCAAGAATCTGTCAATCTTTAATTCTTTGGTGAAGATGTCAGTCAACTATGCTTCACTTGAGCAATGTCTAACTCCAAATTCACCTCGATTTACCTTTTCCCTTAGGAAGTGAAATCTATCTTCGATATGCTTACTCCTTCCATGCAGAACTGGATTCTTCGTCAGATTTATGACTGACTTGTTGTTGATTTGCAACACTAGAGGTTTCTTCACTTCGACAGTCATTTCTTCAAGTACTGGTCTAATTCAAATTGCTTGACAAGCAGCATAGGATCTTGCTATATATTCAGCTTCACAAAATGACAATGCCACCACAAGTTGCTTTCTTCGAACACCATGATGTTGGAGCACCAAATACTAAAAAGAAATATCCAATTGTGCTTCTTCAATCTTCTTTATCTCTACACCAATCAACATCTGAAAAACAATCAACTATTCCTTCTTTGCCTTTAGAATCTCGTCGAAATAATATTCCACAATTTATTGAACTCTTCAAATATCTCAGGATTCTTCTTGCAACCTTCATATGTGACACACTTGGTTCACTCATATATCTGCTTACTAATCCGACTGCGAAACCTATATCAGGTCGACTGTTACACACATACCTCAGAGATTCCACAATTTGCTTAAACAAATTTGCATCGACTTTGCCTTCCTCTCCATTCTTCTCCATCTTTACATTTGGTTCGACAAGTGAAGATGCAGGATTCGAATCATCAATTCTGAATCTCTTGAGTATCTCTTTGACATACTTCTTTTAATGTAGCATCATTCCTTGCTTCGATATTTGAAATTCCATACCTAGAAAATAAGACAATTTTCCCAGATCCGACATTTCAAATTCCTTCGCCATTAGCTCCTTGAACTTTGACAAGTTCTCCAAACTATTTCCAGTTACTAGCAAGTCATCGATATATAAGCAGATGATTGTTATATCTTGTGATACAACATGAACATAGACATCATACTCTGATTTGCATTTGACAAATCCCAATTCAACTAAGTATGAGTCAATCTTCTTGTTCCATGTCTCAGGTGCCTGCTTGAGGTCATAGAGCGCTTTGTGCAATCTATATACTTTACTCCCTTCCTTCTGAATCACAAACCCAGAAGGTTGTGTGACATAAACTTCTTTGTCTAAAAGACCATTCAGAAATGTTGATTTCACATCTAGATAGAATATCGACTAGCCTTGGTTGCATGCCAATGTTACCACTAGTTGAATAGTCTCCAATCTTGCTACTGGAGCAAATACTTTAGAGTAGTCGAGTTCTGCTCTTTGAAGAAAACCTTGAGCTACTAATCTTGTTTTATGTCTTGCTATCGACCCATCTACATTGTGTTTCAACCTGAACACCCACTTTACTTTAATAGCTTTTGTTTATGCTGGCAATTCGACTAACTCATATGTGTTGTTTCTTTCAATTGCATGTAACTCTTCGACCATAGCTAACTTCCACTTGTTAATCTTCAAAGCTTTGCTATAGTTGATTGGTCCAGCACCTGCAAGTAAAGCAAAATGAACTAATTCTCTATTTGGTGTTACCTCATCATCACCAGTCACTTCATGATCCTGAAGTCTTGTTGGAAGAACTCAAGTTCGTTGAGGTCTATGGCTTGTGCTAGCCATTCCCTCTTCGACTTTGACATTGTCTGGAATGTCAGCAACTGCTTCATCTTCTATTGGAATATTTGCAATTTCTTCGACTTCGACTTTATCAGTTTCTTCTTCAAAACCATAGCTCATCAATGGCTTGTTAATTGTATCATTATAATTCCAATCCCAAGCAAAATTTTCATCAATCACAATATCTCTACTCAACACAATTTTCTCATTAATTGGATTGAATAACCTGTATGCACCAATTTTATGATATCCTACCAGAATCATAGGTTCACTTTTGTCATCAAGCTTCCTTCTTCTCACATTAGGAATATGCTTGTAACACATAGAGCCAAACACCTTCAAATGACTTACTGATGGTCGTTTTCCACTCCATACTTCTTCAGGAACCTTGTTCTTCAATATCTTAGTAGGACACATATTCAAAATATAAATTACAATGCAAATAGCTTCTCCCCATAAAGACTTTGGAAAATTCTTTTGCTTCAGCATGCATCTCGCCATATCTAATATGGTTATGTTTCTTCTTTCATAAATTCCATTATGTTGAGGTATATAAGGAGCATTTACCTCGTGATCAACACCATGTTCTGCACATAAATCTTCAAATATCTTGGATGTGTATTCGCCACCTCCATCTGTTCGCAGAACTTTGATCTTCTTCTCACTCTGGTTTTTGACAAGTATCTTGAATCTCTTAAATATTTTGAATACTTTGTCCTTTCATTTGATCACATATATCCACAACTTTCGACTGAACTCATCAACAAACAAAAAAAATATTTGTTTCCACCAATGGTATGTTCTTCGAATGGACCACATACATCTGAATGCACCACTTCGAGAATGCAGGATGATCTCATTGGCATAATCGAAACGAAAGAATTTATGGACTGCTTTCCTACTAAACAACCTTCAGAAAGTTTTTCAGGCATCTCAAGACTTGAAATTCCAGTAACCATATCTTGAGTGATCGAAAATTCAAATGTACAAACCTCAAATGCCACAACCAACTACCCTTGTGGTCAACAACAGTTTTCAAACATTAAAATTTTGTCGAGTTGATCATAGTCTTAAATATCTTATTCTTCGACAACGGAGATTTTAAGACCAAATTGTTCTTGGTGTCGAATAATTTCAAAGCTCCATTTTTCATAACAACTGAGAAACCTTTTTCGACCAGTTGTCCAACACTTAGCAAGTTGAACTTCATTCCAGGTACATAGAGCATATTATTAATCATAGCTTTTCCTCCATTACTTATTTAAAAAATTATGTTGTCAATACCTTCTGCTTGCAACGAACTATTATCAGCAAGTTTTACCTTGCTCTTCTTCGAATCGTTGCCAATCACTC